ATATTATTTTGCTGTGACAGGGACAAAACACAAAACTTCTGAGGGAAAAATTCTATGGTGCCAAGACTCTCAATCCCCCACCCCAAATTACAATGCAGTGCTATGTGAAAACAGGTCTTTTTTCCAAAAACATTTGCTAGATTTATTTTCTTCACTTTTTCATGCCTGCTCTGTACTGTATGCTAGTAACTAATCCTTTGAATATATTTCTTAAAAGGGCTTGCAAACACAGCTGATGATAAAGCTGAATAAAGCCTTCTCTGCCACATTGCAAAAAGCGATGTTTTTATTAACCGACTAATTTATATCTCTTGTTATTTTCACCTCATACTCAGCCTGGAAACCAGAACTTAGCTGACAATGTGCCAGAGGTAAATACTTCACAGGCTCCCAGACACACCACACAAGAAGCCTGTCTTCATGCCTTCTTTCTGGGGTGCTGTATAACTGAACCACGTCTTACCTGACGGTGGCTCCAGCCTAGCCTCCCTGACTGTCACCACCTGCTGATGTGGGGCCTTCACACCTGCACAGATCCCCTCTTCCCCCGACCCTTTCACACTGCTTTTCACAAATCTCTTCTCCTTGCTCCGGTCCTCCCTGACCACAGCCACATCACAGACTCTCACTACTGACTTGTCTTGCTCTTCTGGTGAGTTCTCCCCAGCCACCCCACATGAGCTGGGGAAGCTGACTCTGAAACACCTTCCCAATCATGGGTCAGAGGTCATCGGTGACAGATTGCACCACCATGTGGCCATGCACTCATTATTCCTCCTTCCTATGCCTCCAGCACTTTAAAACAAAATATTTTAATGTTTTATTTATTTCTGAGAGAGAGAGAGAGACAACATGATCAGGGGAGGGTCAGAGACAGAGGGAGACACAGAATCTGAAGCAGCTCCAGGTTCTGAGCTCCAAGCTGTCGGCACAGAGCTCGATGTAGGGCTCGAACCCACAAACCATGAGATCATGACCTGAGCCGAAGTCGGACGCTCAATTGACTGAGCCACCCAGGCAGCCCTTTTTTAAAAAAAAATTGTTTTAAACCAATTTCTTTTTTTTTAAAATTTTTTAATGTTTTTTATTCATTTGTGTGTGCGAGAGAGACAGCGTGAGTAGGGGAGGGTCAGAGAGAGAAGGAGATACAGAATCTGAAGCAGCTCCAGGCTCTGAGTTAGCTGTCAGCATAGAGCCCGACGCGGGGCTCAAACCCACGAACCGTGAGATCATGACCTGAGCCGAAGTCAGACGCTTAACGGACTGAGCCACGCATATGCCCCTCCTCCATCACTTTTTAAACAAATCTCGGCAGGCCAGACACAAGGACTGACTGATTTCTTGTCCACCATCTCATTTTGCTGCCAAGCGTTTTTATTCACATAGGTGTAAATTATATCTAAACTGATTCCACACAGTCTGTCCAGAAAATCCTTTACAGTCATCCTCATAAGCTTAGTTTCAGCTGAAAAAGTAAACTGCATTCTGATTCACTTTTTTAAATTTCTTAATGTTTATTTTTGAGAGAGGCAGAGCATGGGGTGGGGTGGGGTGGGGGGGGCAGAGAGAGAGAGAGGGAGACACAGAATCCAAAGCAGGCTCCAGGCTCTGAGCTGGCGGCACAGAGCCCGAGGCGGAGCTCAAACTAACGAACAGTGAGATCATGACCCTAGCGGAAGTCAGACGCTTAACCCACTGAGCCACCCGGGCGTCCCTATTCTAATTCATTTCAGAGTCATTTATATTTACACTGTGTTGCTCTAGCTAATGAGTTATACAGTGATTTGCCTTGATAAGTAGTTATCTCCAAAAAAATAAATTAACTCAGAAATTTAGATAGGTATACATAAATTATGACTAAGTTATAGCAAAAGTCTAACATTTTTTCCAAAACTTTAACCCAGTATTAAATCCTTGTGGATAACAGTTTATCTCTGTGATTCATATGAAATTGTCCTGTGTGAATAGTTCATATACTCTTGTTTCTCACATACATAATTGCTGACTGCATGATGCTAATTCTTGCTTCTCTTTCACAAACAGCTACCTCTTTTGGACCTATCTGTCTTACAGGGGTGAATGATGTAAATATTCTTACTCTACACTGCAGAAATTTAGCCTTCTGATATTTTGGAATTATTTGAGCCATTCTGGCATAGAAATTTATGAATTCATTTACTGTTTTATATATCAATAATTCATCTTTCATTTATAGCCATATATAAATACTCCCCTTACAAATGATATAATTTAAATATGTCTATATAACAAGTCCCTACCAAATGATTTATGAATAACTAAAACGCTTTGAAATTTTAAGGCACAGATTTTCTTTTTTTGTTTTTAAGTTTATTTATTTTGATAGAGAGAGAGCACGAGTGTGCCAGCAGGGGAGGGGCAGAGAGAGAGGGAGAGAGAGAATCACAAGCAGGCTCTGCACTGCCAGCATAGAGCCAGACATGGGGCTCAAACCCACAAACTGTGAGATCACGACCTGAACTGAAACTGAGAGTTGGACTCTTAACCAACTGAGCCACCCAGGTGCTCCTAATGCACAAATTATCAATCACATCTAACGTACAGGCAATGGCTTCAATTTGAAAAATATCTAACTTTAGGCAAACAAAAGGGGAGGATTTTTTTCTAACATTTATTTAATAATGAAGCTTGAAATAAGCACCATTATAAACAAAATTTTAATTGTGCTACATAATTCTTATGTCGTGTCAATGTTATAAACCTGAAAATTTCATGCATGGAGAAATATTACAAGTCATATGTTTTTCAAGACACTGCAATTATAGAAGACAAAAGACACCTTTTAGTATTTTTCTTAAATACTTAACAATACTTTAGATGGGGTTTAGTATTCATTCAATGGCTGGGTATAAAACTTAGCCATGAATGGCTCGGTATGAAACTTTGTCATGAAATGTTCCCATTTGTCACTGGCCACAGAAAAAAACCCTCACTTTGCAGGGTCAACACCCCACTTGCCACTACAGCCTGGAGCCCAATAGTCCTGGGCTTCACTATGTCCTACTATGTATTCAATAGTTCTTCATTTAAAACTTCAAGGAATAGTAGGGCCTTTAACCAAAAATACAAAACAATGATAGCATATCAGTGTATGTACTAACCAATTCAACTTGCTGTACTTAAGGCTCTTCAGGAGCCTGAAAGGCAAACATACATATAGTCTTACAGGCACAATCAGAGCTAACTGTAACTGAACTTAATTTCAAGCTGCAATTCAAACTGCACATGGGTTGCACAAGGAGATGATTTTCCTAATAATAATTCCACTATAACAATAAAGTATTTTCTAAAATCCTAATGGTGTTATTTCGTTAGTAAAATCCTAGTTGGTTTAACACTATGAGAGATGAAGTCTATGTGCAATATTTATTTTTTTAACCCATAGTTAATATTACTGAAACTATCAAAATAGGGTTCAAGACAAATTTTCTAAGTTCAGTAACAAAGTAACATGACGGGTTTTAATAAGAATTCTGCTTGTGACACTCATTGTAACACATTATAAAGCAGTACTATAATTAAATTTACAAAGAGCAACCAAACCAATTTAGGCAAGGTGGCAAAAATATTCTCAAGTAATTCATCAAAGTTATAGACAGGCTCTGAAGCATTTGGGTAAGCTAGTGCCTCACATCATTTGAATGCTCAGTACTCTTCAGGTAGAAGACCTATAAGATATGGTGGCTTATGATAGGAGAGTGGCTTCTGTCACAGCTTAGAGAAATACTTAATCAGTAAGCATAATCACTGTAATGGAATATTTATTGACCCTAGGGCATATGTGGTATGGCTATAAAAATATGAAATTAAGTTAACTCCTGGTCATTTCAAACCATGAGCTTTAAAATGAAAAATCCAGGAAATATGTATGTAATTAATTGATGACCTACATTTCAGGCCTGCATTGTAGAAGTTTAATCTGTTTTCAGATCAGTAGAAAAAGTTCACAAATGATGGTTCTTTATCCGTGTGCATATGTGTGTTTGTGTGTATTCAGCTGTAAGGTATTTTAACTAAATGCTCTTACTAACGTTTTGTCTCATTTGCATGCATTATGTAATCTCCACCATGCTCAGTGCTGTGTTGTGGCTAGAAAAGCATCCTTAATAGTGGTGAGCTCAACCTCGGGGAACTAAGTTGATCCAATTCAATTAGAATGTGTATCTATTGAATATCTACTATGTTCTTAGCACCAGGTTGAGCATTATAAAAAAATACGAGAGAAGCACATAAATGGACTATCTCCAAAAATATCTCAAGCTGTCACTGGGGATATAATATGCTCAGACATAAATCAATCAAAACAATAAAATATTAAGAAACCAAAAAGAGGCCCATAGAGTGCTAAATGAGATTGGAATAGGGAGAAGCCAGTGGTTTATCGTGTCTTTCTGATGCTTTGCCAGAAAAGATTGATTCTTTTAGAATAGAAGAGATTGCTTCATGATACGTAAATCCAAACAGTTGTGTTCTTTACCTTACTCACTTTGCCTGGAAACACGCATTCACTAGAGGACAGCCCTATGTCTGAGAACCAATCCCTTCTTCACGATAAAGAACGTTCATTTCAAGTCCCTCCAACAGAGCAGTGGGACAGTGTTCTGACCACTCATTATGACTTGAAAAGCAAATTCACTCTCCATGTTTATTTTACACTGACTCCCACTGATACTTTTGGCATCTCTGTTGGCAGAGTGGCATGCCCACCGGTCAGCTGCTTCTACTCTTCCTAATTACCTCCTGTGCCCTCTGACATAGGAGAGAGTGGTTTCAGAAATAATGGAAGATAGAAAAGACACTTAAAAAAAGTGACCTCTCTCTGTAGACATCAGTTTTCAAAGTAAATAAACATTTGCCAGCTGATTGCTGTCATATGAGCACCAGTCTTTTATTGTCATCTACAGGAATGATGTTTACAGAGGACCATGTGCTATAACAGGATGTCTTTGGTCTCTTCTCAGAGCCAGATAACAGTGAATGGAAACTCAGGAGGTGCTGTGAGCCCAATGAGTTACTATCAAAGGCCGTTCTCCCCTTCAGCTTACTCTCTCCCAGGCTCGCTCAATTCAAGCATTATCATGCAGCATGGCCGGTCACTTGGTAAGTCTTTTGACAGTCACGATTTTCATGACAATTTCATATAACAAGTAGAAACCACATGAGAAAAACATCAGAGTAATTTTTTCAAAAGAGTGGGACATTCAACACTCCACTATTTAATGACCCTATGCTAGGGGAGGAATTAAGAGCAGCGGAGTCAACACTGGAGAGAATAGACATTCGACTATTCCCAAGACACTGACTGCATCTATATCTGAGTGAGCAGAAGGCTATTAAGTGTTTGGAGTTTGAGGCAGAAAGAGGGAGGACAGTTAGGCAGGAGAGTTCTCACCACCAGAACATTCATGTAGCACATTTCCACAGATGGCAAATGCCATCCATGTTCAAAACAGCCTGTTCTTTTGTGGAAAAGCTTTTGCTGTAGAAAATTCTCTTGGCATATATTCAGAAGAATTATTTAACAGTTAAAACAGTCTAATATGGGGACAGCTGCCTCACAAAGCAGTAAATAGTAAACTACCCCCTCACAAAGTAGCAAACCACTCTTCGAACTGAGACCAGAAGACTGTTAGTCAGGGAGAGGAGTTCCATTAAATGGTGATCCCTGAATTTTCTATAGAGACACTTCTTAATCCTTTGAGGATTAGGAATTAGATGAAAGAGAGAGCTCTCCTCCAGAAAAAAAAAAATGCACATTTGAACATTCATAAAAACTTTTAAGCATATAATTTCATGGTCCTTGTGAGTTTTTTGAAGCCTTCTGGATAAGAACTTCTACTATACAATGACAAACATTTTTCTGTGGCAAATATATTAGGACTGTTTAGAAAATAACATGCGTACTTCTGAGGGATTTAAAATTTTTTTTAACGTTTTATTTATTTCTGAGAGAGAGAGAGAGAGCGTGAACAGGGGAGGGTCAGAGACAGAGGGAGACACAGAATCTGAAACAGGCTCCAGGCTCTGAGCTAGCTGTCAGCACAGAGCCCGACGTAGGGCTCGAACCCATGAACCGTGAGATCATGACCTGAGCCGAAGTCTCAGATCTCATGACTGAGCCACCAAGGAGCCCCCTGAGTTTTTAAAAGTGTAAAAAACCCCAAAACACCAAAAACCAAACCAAATCAAACCATTATCCCAATTCAAGCTGAGAAAGGTCCCATGATGCTGAGTGACTGGAAGGCTTCCAGACAGCAGGGGAGGAAGGTGGAGAAAAGAGTGCAGGCAGCACACCTCTCAGAAAGTCTAAGACTGATCCCATGGCCACCACCAACCAGCAACAGAGCACAGGGCTTTCACTCTCATTTCCTCTTTGATAGCAGGCGGCACCTCCTCTTCCCCAACACTGTTTATCAAAAGACATGATGCCATCAGCATCCCCAGGAACATTCAGCATGTGCATTATGGAACTCAACTTCTGTGGTCAACAAAACCTCTATATACATGTAGCCCGAGACTCATTAAAGAAAAGTCTAATTATACATGTGCCTTCTCTAATGGTGCTTATGGGGATCACCTGTGTATGCTATAATGATGTCCTTTTACATGTAAGAAAGTAGAATGTCCTTGGGCCCAGATATTGCTCTGAAACGACCTTTCCATGGTGCAGTATTATAACAGTAGTCCATTATATCTAGATTTTTAAAAAAATGCTTATTAATTTATTTTGTGAGAGAGTGAGCAGGTGTGGGCGTAAGAGGGGAGGGGCAGAGAGAGAGAATCTCAAGCAGGTTCCGCAGTGTTAGCACAGATTTCAACGTGGGGGCTCAATGCCATGAACCACGAGATCATGATCTGACCTGAAATCAAGAGTCAGACACTTAACTGACTGAGCCACCCAGGCCCCCCATACCTAGATTTTTTACATAGCTATGCGTTATCACACTCCTTTAGTAAAACTACAAATTATTCTAGCCATAATGTTTTCTCAAACAATTATTATTAAAGCTGGACTCTTTTTCTTCATAACTGTCTTAATGCACACAATTTTGTCCCTCCCACCCCAAGAAACAAACTACATAAATACTTGACCATAGATAGGCTTTCATATTAGAACATATCAATGGGTAGATTTATAGATAAGCCACACTACATGGAAAGAAATTCCCTATAGAAACACTGAACAAATCCTAATCAGCCAGTGCTGAGACAGGTTCGGGGAATATACAAATCTATCCTGCCTTCGAGAAACTTTATGTTAAGCTGAGGACAAAAGACTACAAAAATGAGAGTTAGTGGACCTATAAAAGAAAAATAAAATAAAGAGTTAACTATAAATTAATTGACTCTTATGAACCATATGTGAAGACAGAGTTAATACTGTTTGCTTAGGCTGGGACTTTGCACATAGGAGGTCCTCAAAACTTATTTCTTGTTGAATAGAAATACCACCATCATGGTTCCTGACTCAGACACTTCTTGGAACTAAATGGGAAATTAGGGTCAAATATCACATTTGGAGGTGCTTGGAAAAGATACCGCTTTTACATACAACAGTACATGAAGCCATTTCATTCCTACCCTTATTCATTCTTCATTAGCAATGTATCAAAAATGCTTTTCTGTTGCAAACTAAATTGAATATAACCATAATGAAATGATAGCAGTTATAAGTGTCATAGATTTTAGCTTACAGGAATCCTATCTGTAGTTATCCTTATAATGATGAGTTAAATCTTTTAAAATCTTACTTATAAACTTTTCTATATAGTACAGTCATATATGAGGCACCTGGCTGGCTCAGTCGGTTGAGATCGGCTCTTGGTTTTGGCTCTGGTCATGATCCCAGGGTCATGGGATCGAGCCCCCCATCAGGCTCTCCCTCTGCCCCTGCCCCACTTATGTACACATGTGCACATTCTCTCTCTCTCCCTCTGTTCCTCTCCTCTGCTTGCACTTTCTTTCTCAAATAAAAAATAAACAAATAAAAAATACAATCATATCTTTTGTGATAGATTACATATATATTCATATATATTCATTCTTGAGTCATACTTGTAATCAAGTAATGCTACCCTGAAGCATTAGAGCTTTTCCATACCCGCATAAAAAGGGAACTTTCTGAGTACCAGATCAGACAAACTATGGCAAAGAATCATTCTTGCTCACCAAGAATAAATTTTGAGATTTATTGTAAAAAAGCAGGATGTCATATTATCAATTGTACAAAGTGAATGGTAATACTGTTGATCTTCATAAATATCTGTAAATCAAGAGTTAAGTGGAATATATAGCACATACATGTCCTCTCTGTTTCTTATGAAAGTATACTAAAAGTTACTAAAGATGGCATGAAGATAGGAACATGATAAATCTCATATAATTTACGTGCTCGGGGCAATTTTTATACTCAAGGGGGAAGCCATGGGTTTTATGCTTCAAAGTAATAGCAAAGATATTTCGCCATCATGGCTACTTAAATAAAAATCAGTACCAATAATTTAAAATCATGTATTTAACCCCTAAGTCTTCACATCATCTAAGTATGTGTTTAGATGTGAAGATTTTGTAATGTGATTTTTGTTTTCACTTTATTTGTAAGAAATTGCTGCTAGAGACTCAACAGTCCTATCTTTTGTTCTAAGAGGACATTTCAGTACCTTTAAATAATAGTAGTTGGCAACTTCACAAAGATAATATTAATGTCTCAGTTTCTGCCTCCTCATCTATGTAGCAGAGCCCCCCATGGAACACCTGCATAGCTCAGTTGGTTAAGTGTCTGACTCTTCACTTCAGCTCAGGTCATGATCTCACTGTGAGTTCGAGCCCTGTGTCAGGCTCTGCAATGACCGTGCGGAGCCTGCTTGGGATTCTCTCTCTCCCTCTCTCTCTCTCTACCCCTCCCCTGCTCATATTCTAAAATTTCTCTCTCAAAATACATAAACATTTTTAAGTAATAATAAGCAAATAAAAATAAATTAATTAAATGGGGTCCCCCACCAACATACCAGAAGGGTAAGGTGAGGTAATACATGTAAAGTACTGTCTTAACACAGTGGCTGCCATACAGTCGCCCGGTCCTTCAACAAATGCTATTCTTCCCCTTACCCTTCTTCTGACAATGAGGAGAATCTTGTTACCGTTCCGTCAGGTTTATGCCTACATGTTAACAATGAGTGGCTCGAACGTAAGGTAAATGAGTTAAAAGAGATAGCGGTGGAATAGTCTATATTACAGTTGGCATAAGTATACAAGAGGCCTGGTCAATGTATGAATGCTTGTGCATCAAATACATTATATTTCACCAAACGTTCCCTGCAGATTCCACAGAGACCTATCCCCAGCACGCGCAGTCCCTGGACGGCACCATGGGCAGCTCCATCCCGCTATACAGATCTTCCGAGGAAGAGAAGAGGGTGACGGTCATCAAAGCCCCGCACTACCCAGGGATCGGGCCCGTGGACGAATCCGGAATCCCCACAGCAATTAGAACGGTAGGAAATGCCAGTGTGGTGGAGGCGGGGCTGCGCCCAGGCTCTACAAAGGCTGGATTGTCAACGGCTTTGTGCATTCCTATGGTCTTATATAATGAGGATTGCCCTGTACGCCATCGGAGTTCTCGTGAATATTATGTTGTACGTGGCAGAGAAAGAGGAAGAGAACTGCGGACTGAAGCTAATCACAGAGTCTGGTTTTGCATGTTAATCGAAAATCACAAAGATTGTGAGTTTGGTTGAACAATAAAGGAATACCTTGTTTTGGTTTACCTTTTCCAGGGAGCCTTACGGCAATAGAATGGAGAAGGAACAAGACAAAGTGAATTCTTTGGCTGCATTGCAAATAAACCGGGGATTTGTTTCTTGAAATGGATGTGTGTTAACCTCAGGAGATCGGGAGCTGTGAATAGACAGCTGGGGGGTGAGATGATTGCAGCGAAGGGAGTTATTGTCATGGAAAGGGAAAAACTCTGAAGAAAAATACACATTTTAGTGTCCCTCTTCAGCTGTGCCCGCTGTGAGCTCTCGGGGATATTGAGTGAAAGTGTTTGGATTTTTTTTTTTTTTTTTTGGCTTTAAACTCTGCCAAAGCATTGCTCAGTGTGTCAGGGCAGCCCCTTCTGGCAAAGCTCAGCAGCAGCAGAAGCAGCTACTGAGAGCCCGGGCAGGCAGCTGCTCGCTGACCAGTCTGCTTGCAGAGAAGGTTTGTGCTAGCCGGCAGAAGGAAGACTCTGGGAGCCAGGATGAGGGCGGCAGCACGTCTGCAGGTGAACTGGGGGGCTGTGCAAGAGGGCGCAGGCTACATACTCCTGCATACCTGGTGGGGGTGCTGCCAGGAGGTGCTCCCCTGGAATGCAAACTCTGGGGGGGATGGAGGGGCGGCAACGACAATAGCGGATAGAGGAAAGGAATGGGAATGAGATCAGGAAAAAAAAGCAGTGTTAAGATTGCATTTCTCATCTATGGGGATTGCGCGTTCTGAGAGAAGAGTTAAGAATTGATTATTGCAAGCATCTGTATCAGAATCGCCAGCCAGAGAGTCAATCTGTACAGCAGTTGCTGGGGTTAGAGATGCGCTAGAGTCTGGGAACACTGAATGTGAATAATTACCAAGTCCTAACAATCTATGTTGGAAGTGATGATTGTCATATTAAAGTCACAGAAAAAGTTCAGGGATTGTGACTAAGGGCCATATGACAACTGCATGTTTCTGGTGATGGTGTTTTGTCGTTTGTTTCTCCTTGAAGGTTTCTGACTCAAAATGGTTTAACTGGAATCTTTTTTGCAAATAATGTAGGGGTGCAGTGTCAGACAGGTATGGTGTCATCGGTTTTGTTTAATTGACCCACGAGTCATGGTATATACACAAATTAGGAGATTCCTGACTCTCATTCTAGATTCTGTCTGAAAGGATTGTGTCTAAACCTCTGGGTGTGTTTTTAACATGATAAATGATGGACAAGAAACAACATGAAAAGCTGGACCGATTTTTTTTATCCACACGACATAACTTTCTTAAACAGCAAAGACTTGCCTCTTAGTTTTCAAAAGGAAAAGTACCAGACATTGTAAGTGGTTAGTGAAAATCAAGTCATATTAAAATTCTAACGGTCTATCTACTTGCAAATCAAAAGCATATTTAGATATGCATATCCAAGTACATATCCAAAACACTCAATGCTGGTCTCCCTTCCATAAAATAGGAAATAAAATATAAGCAACCCAGAAGTTCCTTATAAGGAGTCATAATTTTTATGCACAGTTGTGCTCTTATTTAGACTTTTAAAACTTTACAAAGAAGGTGCAGGTCTGCGAAGACTCTTACTCGTGTTCCCAATTTTTCAGCCTCGCCAAGCACATCCCCAAGTATAGCTGTGTTTATAAATGTTGAGTCAGGCCATCTCTGAGCCACAGCAGGCCAAGAATCTCCAAGGTTGTTTTTATTTCTCATCCGTGTAGAAAGTAATGATTATCAGACTCAAATTGCTTTACATGGACTTTCTGCTCAGTGTATCCACCAAAGGCAGTACTGTCTCAGTGTATCATGTTATAGTCTCATTTCAGACAACCGACCTATACCAAGGAAACAGAATTTTGTAAACTAGAAACTCTAGAAAGCCAAAAGTCAACAAATGTACCTTTGAGCTATTTGAATGAAGTCTCCCCAGTCTGCCCTCTGTCATGTGACCTGGGGCGTCTGGGTTAGCCTTTTACTGCCATTCTTAACAACAACAAAAATCGCTAGGGTTCAGATCCCAGGAGGTTGTCTAATTAAAGCCAGCTAGTTAAGTGAAATACAAGACTCTTTTTTTTCTAGTTCAAATATAACACCGTTCAAGCATTTTCAAAGCTGGAAAGGGGCAAAAATAGAAAAGAATCACTATATATTTGTGTGTAGAAAATATGTGTCTTTTCCCTTTTTGGCCATCCCTGCATGATACACCAACGTAGAATTCTGATACTTTGTAAACTGTGGAAAAGTAAAACCCAGGTGAATTCTGCCAAGAATATAGAAAACAAGTGAATCGTGAATTGCTAGTAGTTACTGTCCATACAAAATAATCTTGAAGGACACATACAAAAGCAAACTTCCTTAAACTTGAGTAGACTTCTGTTTACTTAATCTCAATATTAGACATAACATGTCCATGATGCCATTTATAAAAGACACTTTAAATGCCCGGAGTGCTTCTTTTAGAAAGGGACAAAGAGTTTTAGGGTTGCCTTCTACCAGTTTCATATTCTCTTTGCCAGCGCTGGGTATTTCCTGGCATCTCTGTGCTCACCATATAAAGCTAGCAGATGGCAAAACTGAGCTCCTGGCTGATATGTGTGCCCTCTAGCAAGTGAAGAAAAGAATCCTGTCTGTCAAGATACATTGCCATATACAGGGATATAACTCACTTATTTAAGCTTCCTTGTTGCTATTGGTTGTGTCCGGGTATGGCTGGGAAACATGTTTGCACAAACTTATATCTTATTTTCTATTGCTGAAGACATCAAGGAAACAAAGCTTAACGAAAGAGAAAGTCATCTTTTGTGAAAATGTCCCTTAAAAATACGTGTTCAGCTACTTTATTTAAATAAGCCAATAATAACTAAACTCCTGCTTCACCACTGCTCCCCTCGCACCAGCTCCCGTCGTTTGAAAATAAGGTCAGTTAACAATCTCCTCAAAGCTTTTCCAATGTAGAAAGAGCCTACAATGAATGAAGAGGTGATTCAGGACAAAGTCAAGTAGCTCTTAATGTTCATCTATGCTTGTGGTGATTATCAGAACCATATATTCTTAGACACCAAAATAAATCTAGATGTGGCACAAAACCCTCAATTTCCAGATGAAAAATGCAATTACCACATATCTGAGGGGGAAAATAGGATATAAAATCTAAACAAATGCTCAGTCTAAAAAGTACAAGAATATTTGTGTGGCAGTCCTAACAGAATATTTTACATTAAGAGAATGGTCTTGGAAAATCTGGTGTATTTATCACTGTATACACAATGATTGGGTTTCATGCAGGAGTATTTCTGCAAATGTTGAGATAAAGATCTTGCCATGCAAAATCTTTAATTACGATTATGAAAGTGTGGGTCTACTTTCACAAGTATGTAATCAGGTAGAATTCCATCCAGTAACTTGGGCTCTGTCATTATTTTATTCTATAAATAGGTTACATTCTCTACTGACTGTTATTATTTATTGAGCACTTCTTACATTCTGGGCATTGTTCTAGGTCTTGTATACGTGGTTTCATTCCATTTCCATTACAATCCTATGATGTAGGTATAATTATTTCATCTCAGGAAGGACAAACTGAGGCTCCAAAAGCTTTCTTAAATGACCCTAACTCATATTGCTAGGAGGTACAAAACAATAATTTTAAAGGAAGCAAGATTTGAATCTAGGTTGAGCTGACATTAATTTCTTCTTTCCACTACAACCCAGTTTCTATTGTGTCCAAGCCCACGCATGTGGAAGGAGCTTCTACTCTCAAGGAATTTATACGTTAGCAAGGCAAATGCTGCATACATTTTATCATGTTAAAAAATTTTTTACACAGTATGTACGTATTTTTAGGTTTGCTGCAGGACCCTCGACTGATTGTACTACATTCGGGGTTTTAGTAACTTAACATAGTAAATATCATATTTTTATTTCTAATTCTAACCTGGTCGGAATACAGTCAAAAACATTCCCTAGTTAATTCTAAAAATAATGTTTTGAACAGAACACTCATGAGAATGTTTTTAAGGATAATAATAATTAGCACCAAAAGGAGTTAAACAAACTACTACAACACTACAACTTTTATTCAGTGATTTTTACATAAATATGTTTGTACAAATATCAACTATCTAATGCTGGGCACAAGTATGATTTGGGAAAATTAAAACCATAGCATATAATGTTCCAATTCAGCCTGAACTCCAACAAGGGGTAACATATTTACAAACTGCATGCATAACTAGGTAAGTTACTAGCATTGTCATCATGAAATGTTGTTTTTTTTTTTAACCACAGACAGAAATCTGCTATTAGGAAAGATAAAGTGCAGAAAGAAAAACGTTGAGGGGCAGTGTTGACTCGGAACCAGTTTTGTCACCATTGGACATTCTCTTTTACAGACAGTTGACAGACCGAAGGACTGGTACAAGACGATGTTCAAGCAGATCCACATGGTACACAAGCCGGGTATGAGTGCTGTTCTGTTTTTGATCGGACCCTCCCAGCCGAAGGAGGGTATATATGCACCCTTCCATAGAGTTCCGGTTGACACAAAACGTTAAGACCCTAGCAACTCCATGGCGGTCCCTCTCTTCAACATTCCTCATTGTTTACCTTCTATCATTCTCAAGTCACAGACACCTGTACTCCTGTTTCACCCCTGAGCTGCCTAGAAGCTTCTTATTAGGTGACCCTTGAAGGGTGCCAGGTGCTCTGGTCCCTTCCTCCCTCAGCTGCTCATCAGGAGAGAGCAGAGGTAGGTCTCACTGGCTTGACGAAAGATCTAGAAAGCACTTCCAGAGGAAACTCATGATTCAGAAGAGAAGGCTGGCCCAGGAAGTGAGGAAAAGGCACTGACTCTGCCTGCTGGGGAGAGGGCTACAGTGCCAAAATGTTACAGACCGGTGAGGTCAAACTGCAGAAGCCCAGGAACAAAACAGTATTAGAAAATTAGAAAAAATGGTGTTGTGCACCAGGCAAAAGACGCTGGTTTTCTACCAAATTGTTTTTGTGTCTCTGAGGTTCTACTGTCTTGTTATGATATGGTGACTGAATGTGTATTACCATGATATTTATGTTTCATTTTCTAGATGATGACACAGACATGTATAATACTCCTTATACATATAATGCAGGTAGGATGGGGTTCCTTGCTACCAATGAATACTGTATGCTGGGCAATGCTTGGTTCCCACTCACTGTTTTACCACTGTCTGAGCGCATGTTTTCTGTGTAGACAATTAAGAGGATGCTTTTTTTTTTTTCTCAAAGCATGCATAACAAAAGGATCGATCTTTTCTCATGGAAATGAGAACTAATACTGTTTTATCTCACTCATTCTCACACTGTCCATTGATTTGCAGCTTCAGGAATGTTTAACCAAAGTATGAAGGACAGCTTGAAAGAACACACTGTAACTGGGGTACAAAATAAGATAAAGATCTCTTTTTATCAGCAGAGAGAGTGATCACAATTGCGTAAGATCTTTCAGATACACTTTACAAAAAAACAAGTCAAGCAAAAGTATTTCGTGACTTTGTTCGTGCTTTCACTCCAAAAATGCAACCATTCATTGAATGATTTTTAAAAATCCCATTCTGCTGGGGCACTTTTCTGACTCAGAGTTGCCAAGAGTCATAATGCCATGACGTCAATTCTGGGCGTTTCTATTTATATTTGAGGGCATTGGTATCTTGTGAAATGGTTGCAGGGCTGGAGTGAGGGGCCCCTACAAAATGCTTCCCTTTTTCCTAAACGTCATATTCGGGGATCCCAAAAAGGGCCTTCTGTCATAGCTCAGCCCCAGGCTGGGGACTGGTGGATGGTATCTGTGTGTCCTTTCTTGAGAGCAGCCTCTGAGGCTCAAGCCATTCACCTGCACCCTTGTAGGGGTCCCCTGGCCAGCCTGGCCTCAAAACCACATAAGGTTCTCCCCACCTTGCTGCCTGAAGGCCAGCACTCAGGCCCGCTAACTGTCAGCCACTAGGATACTAGTCTCCAAAGACAGAGAAGAAAAAATAGGCAGGACGAGCCTAGCAAGCAGCAAGACTGCTGATATTTAGGTCCTCACTCGTCCAGGTGACAGCAGGAAGCCCAGTAAAATCTGTCCCTCAACTTTTATCCTGAGCCACAGATACTCCAAACTCACCTCCTGTGTTTCGCTTGTTCTAAAACAAAATTCAGCCAAGTAAATTTTAAAGATAGTACTGGCTTTATTTCACGATTCACGAATCTGTCCACATCCAATCTAGCCGAGAGAGAGGAGCTCCAGGGGGCTGTCCCAAATGAAAGACTTTTATAGGTAGAAGGGAGCCAAACAAGGAAGTTACAGTAGGAAAGGGGAAAAAAAAGTGCGGAGGTTATTACAAGGATACTTTTCCTCTAAAGGACGCCAGGGGTCTGTGAGTGAGGTCATCTCACTCATGCTGGTCAGGCAATGCCTGATTGTCTGGTTTAAGATTCCATTTCTGGAAGCACCAGAAATGTACTTTTTAAGTACTGTACTTAAGTCTCCATTGGGTGATGGGGGCGCTTAGCATAGGCGACTCCATTTTGGGCCTCTTTTGTTTTTAACAAGCTGTACAGCTGAAATCTGACCGTAGAACCCAGGCAAAGCAGTACGTGCAGACACTGTCTTTCCATTTGTGATGGCAATTTGTACGGCCCCTCAGGAGAAGCAGATGAGTGAAAATTGACTTAACTCAAAAGTCTGAAGTGGCAGGAAATTCAGAATTTTTATTACTGTTTTTACTACTGAAATTCTGTAGCCATTAGGAACTCATAAATCGAACAGTAATAGTTACATAGAACCTTGTGGAGCCCTTTTGAGATAGCTTTGCCATTTAACTGGTAGACAAAGCAATGGTGATTAGTCTCTTCCCTCTCTACAAACCCTGCATCCCACTATGCTATGTCTTGCCTCTTTTTTTTTTTTTTTTTAACCTAAGTCGTCTCTGCTTCCGTCTTCCACAACCCACAAAACCCAGTTCTCCAGGGCTCATCCTAGTGCCATCAGGTCCATAGTATCTTCTCTAACCAATCCACCATCTTCCAAAATCTTTCATTCCTCGTATGCATTTTCCTCTCTGGCTTTCATCATGTTACCAATTATTTTCAATCACAATTCCATACATGTCTCATTTTCTCAGATACACAGCAAGCTTGCTGAGGATTTTGTGTCCTTAAGCCTTGCACAGCACATATACAACTTGCTCAATATTTTGTTTGGTTGGGGCACATGGCTGACTCAGTCCATCGGGCATCTTGACTCTTGATTTCAGTTCAGGTCATGATCTCAGGGCCAAGGAATCGAGTCCCGTGTCAAGCCTCACGTTGGGCTTGGCAGTGTGCAGCCTGCTTAGGATTCTCTTTCTCGCTCTTCCTCTACCCCTCTCCCCTGTTCAGGCACACTCTCTAAAAAAAATACATAAACTAAAAAAAATTTTTAAATATATTTTGTTTGATTGCAATTAACATGTCACTTGTCATAGGTAAACCAGAGCTTTTAGAGTAATAGAAGATATTTGGAAACAGTTCTATAAACCATTTTTAATCTTCCCCTGAAACCTTAACTATGTTATTAGTTTATATTTTCCAGGAGAAAATTTGCTGAGTAGCTATAGGGTTATTCCTTTTTTTAAAAAAAATTTTTTTAATGCTTTATTTATTTCTAAGAGAGAGAGAGAGAGAGACAGCGTGAGCAGGGGAGGGTCAGAGAGAGAGGGAGACACAGACTCTGAAACAGGCTCCAGGCTCTGAGCTGGCAGTCAGCACAGAGCCCGACGCGGGGCTCGAACCCACGAACCGCGAGATCATGACCTAAGCGAAAGTCGGACACTTAACCGACAAAACCACCCAGGTGCCCCACTATAGGTTTATTCCTAATACCAGTTTGGATTATTACTAATTTTAAAATGATTGTTGAAGATTTACTGCAATCAATGATTGTGTACCAAATACATTGCTAATAAATTAATATATTAATGATTAATAAATTGATAATATTAGTGAATCAATTAAGAACATACCACCCAATGCATGCACTATGAATATGCTTGCTGATAAAAATTTGACTAAAAGCATTGGATATTTTGTGGGGTATAAATAATTTCATGCACTTTTAAAATGTTATCTGCTTCTGTTTGTTTTGTTGTGTTGTGTTTCATGCTAGGCCTGTACAACTCACCTTACAGTGCTCAGTCACATCCTGCTGCAAAGACCCAGACCTATAGACCTCTGTCCAAGAGCCACTCTGACAACGGCACCGATGTCTTTAAGGATGCATCCCCCCCTATTCCTCCCCCACACGTTCCTCCTCCAGTTCCACCACTTCGACCAAGAGATCGATCTTCGACAGAAAAGTAAGGCATTTTCCTCAAAAGTAGCCTATATTTAGTTTAGGATAAAGTAAGCCCATTTGGCATCCAGGAGAAGAATCCGTGCTTACCTTAGCAAGATACTGTACGTACAACCTTATTAGTCAACACATGTGCCATGTTGTCTTCCTCTATTGGGATCATGGCAAACACTTTCACAATCTTTTTTTTTTTTTTTTAATGTTTATTTATTTTTGAGAGAGAGACAGAGTGTGAGCAGAGGAGAGGCAGAGAGAGAGGGAGACATAGAATCCAAAGCAGGCCCCAGGCTCTGAGCTGTCAGCACAGAGCCTGAGGTGGGGCTCAAATTCACAAGCTGTGAGATCATCACCTGAGCCAAAGTCAGATGCTTAACCGAATGAGCCACCCAGGTCCCCAAACATTTTCACAATCTTGGCTCATAGTATCATAATCGTCTATTGAGATTGTAGCAAACACGTTCACAATCTTGGCTCATAGTATCATAATCACATGAGCACAATCTTAGGGCGCCTGCCTGGATGATTCATTCAGTTAAGCGACCAACTTCAGCTCAGGTCATGATCTCCCAGTTGGTGAGTTGAAGCCCCATGTAGGGCTATGTGCTGACAGCTCAGAGCCTGGAGCCTGCTTCAGATTCTGTGTCTCCTTCTCTCTGCCTGTCCCCTGCTCACACTCTGTCTCTTTATCTCTCTCAAAAACAAAGTAAACATTAAAAAATTAAAAGAAAAAACAAAAACATGAGCACAATCTCTACCCTTTGATTAATAAGTGCATATCAGAAGACAAATAAATAGAAATAACTGACATGTACTTCCTTTGGCATAGCATGTCAGAGACTATGCAGTTAATTTTCATTTTCCTCAGGTTCTAAATGTTAATTTGAATCTATTAATGATTTAAAATTTCTCCTCTCATACACTAAAGTCTCTTTTTGAAAGCAGGCAAAATTGTTAGTAAATAATAAATAAGACATTAGTAAGTGTCTATCTGTGACTCATTTCTACCAGCTTTTCAAGATGATACTAATTTTTATTTCCCCACTGAAATGTTTTTATAGAAACTGTTCATATGAAAATAAAAAATTATAAACATACCATTACTGTGCAATTTTTTATTAGGATTATGACTAATAATCCTACTTATAGGTAACCTTTATTGAGAGCTCATTATAAACCAAGCACTATGCTAAGTACTTTTCCTGGATTATATCATGTAATCCTGAGAATGACTCAATGAGGCATGTTCTATTTTAAACCCATTTTAGAGAGAAATCAACTGTTTTAGAAAATTAAGTTACTCAGCTCATAGAGCTAGTATGTCTAAGCCAGGATTCAAACTCAGCTGTGAATAAATCCATAGCTCATGTGATACTAGCAATTAATGAAAACATAAGAATTCTTCAGCATCAGTACTAATTATTAAGCATCCATGTATCATACACATCCTATGAATATTATATTCAATACCCCATTGTACCATTAAGAGTAACTGATGATCAAATCGGGTATGAGATGTCATGAAAATAGATATACATCATGTATGAAGAGATCCCCACTTTAATACCAATCTCCTCATGATAAGCTATAGGTTTGTAAGTGTGATGTCTTAAATCCGAGATAGAATTATCTAGACACAAAATCGTACCTCTGCTATTAAAAAAAGAACCAAAATTAACTCAAATTTAAATGTAATATATGGTCTAAGTTTAGTGGAAATAAATCTCTCATTAAGAAATATGATAATCTCTTAAAAATTTCTAGACGTCTTTCACATACATTGTCTCATGTGATACTCAAAATACATCTGTTGACTATCATTCATCAGTTACTGGTAAGTCAGGACTTGTCCCTAATTCTCCTGTCTCTTAGGGCAGTTCTATTTCCAATGTGCTTCAGTATGAGAATGTAATCTCATTCCATGGGTCAGAATTGCTCCCATCTATAGCCAGAAATTTCTGGCAGAAAAAAGATCCTCACAAAGGAAGCCTTCTTTAGCCCTGGGTACCTAGAAAAGCCTTACTTTCAACATCCCTCGTTGACTGCCTTTTGAAGGCTATTAGTTCAGGAAAAAGAGCTGCTTCCAAGGTCTCTTATGCAATGGGATGGCTGTCTCAGTCCAGTTTTTCAAGGGTAAGACCAGAGGAGGCTCTGCCCTGCCACACAGCTTGCTTCTGTGGATGGCAATCCAAGGGACACTTTTGTACTTTTCACAGACAAACTGGGATGCCATTTGCAGGATAAATAAGATGAAACATGGCGTGTGCATTACTCCTTGTCACTTTGGATCAAGGATGCCAGGTCACAGAGTGGTGCAAAACTCACGTAACTCAATGGAGCATAACTGCCACCTCTTCTAAACACAAATATACACAGCTGCTATTTGTACATGATCCCAAGGGTTTACAGGCAGACCACTGCCAACATGCATGTCTGTAAACCCCTTGTGTGAGTTACTGAGTCAGCAGGACAGTCGTTTATGGGAGAACAAAATAGAGGAAATAGAATATGAAAGAAAAGAAATGGCTTTCTTTAAATCATTTATGTAAAACAACATATAAATGGGGTATGTTATGCAGACTTTTAATCCTGAGATACTTTTTAAAACTCAATATTAGAGTTAACTATGTAAACTGATAGCAAGTGGTTTTATAGAACGGCTTTAAGCATAGAGAATTATATGATACATAATTTGTTGTTTCATTTCTAGGCATGACTGGGATCCTCCAGACAGAAAAGTGGACACAAGAAAATTTCGTTCTGAGCCGAGGAGTATTTTTGAATATGAACCTGGGAAGTCATCAATTCTGCAGCACGAAAGACCAGTAAGCATTTGTCATTCAACAGAATGCCAGTTGTCTAGGCTTCTGGGCTCCCAAGTAAACCTGAATTTTGTATTGGTTAGCAATTTTTGTCTCAAACGTAATTTATGTATTTGGCATTATTTAGAAATCAAGTTTGTCTTGTATCACAATTCATGCATATTTTCTGAGATTTGAAGACACAGTCTCTAATCTATTGCCCCTACAAACCAAATATGGGATCCATTTGCATATAACTATAGCTGGGCCTAATCATCGCCCTGAGCTTAATTTTTTAAAAATTCATAAGTAACTGCTAGTCTTACTGGTCTTAATTGCTAGTCTCCATTGCTAATGAGAAAAATCATTCATTAGTCTCTCTGATACAAATGAACCCACACATCCCATCCCTTGGCTTCCACATTGGTTGCTTAATATTTCTTTGGATTAAGGGGAAATTTCCCAAATGCCTTTTTTTAAACAAGTTGTTTTAATTGATTCTTATTAAATCTCTCTCAGGTTTCCAAGCCTCAAGCTTCCTGATTGTCAATCTAATGGATCAAGATTATATTTAACTTTGCAGAAATTTTGCTAGTTATTTAATACACGCAAACAAAAAGATACATGAATTTGAAAATAACCACTTGTCTCTTCAAAGTGCAATTTAACAAACAGGTTATTCCTTGGCCCTCTTGGTTTTTATTTCCCATCCTCCTTTCTGAGTCCTCTGCTTTCCCTCCTAGATAAGTGACCTCAGGATCTCTTTGAAACTATAATTCCTTTGCATTTCTATCAAAATCTGCTTCTAGAGATCTATTTGCAATTTACTCTCCTCTTTGTCTTAGAAGAATTTGGGGTGGTGTCAGTGAACAGGAAAAAGAGAGTTTTCTTTGTTTACTCCCTTAAGAGTCTCCAAGAAAGCACATTATTATATATAATGCAAGGCCAGCCCTGAAATTTGATTGGAAAGCTTTGCCTTACCACACCCAACATGAGTGTCCTGCATTTAGTTTTTGAAACCCTGTAGTTATGGTTATGTTCTTGAGAAACATGTTCAAAAACCTTATAATCACATAATTCATACATAATATTTATCTAAGCCATCTTTGCCTTTCTTCAAATAACCCATATCTTTTAGGGTAACAGAACCTCACTCAAAAAACTGAAAGAAAAAAAAAAGGAACACCACTGGTTTGTAGGCTTAGTGCAAACTTGTAACCCATTTACTGGGTTATATGACTGAATATCAGGATACATTGAAATTTCTAGGATGAGAATTGCATGAACCATGATGTTACCATTGGATGAAATTGAAGATAGCAAAATAATGAGACTCAGATTTAAGTGTGAATTACAAAAATGCTCACTGATGATCACTCTAAGAATTTACAAGAATGTTGTGATTATATTGGAACACTTTACTTGCTGTGGTTTCAGGAAACAGGATTGATTTTAGAATTTTCCTCACCATCATATTTCTATTATATACTCATTCAACATTTACTGAGCACCAACTATGTGCTAGACATGGTATTAGATACTAGGGATCTAGTGGTGAGCAAGACACAGACTCTAGCTTGAGGAACTATGAGTCTTTCATTTAATGGGTACACAGAATTAGGCTTGTATTTTAAGAAGAATAGAAAGTTGTGGGAGCATTTGTGTTGCAGGAGATTTGGGTACAGATAGGGCTCTGCAGCCACAGGAAAAAAAAGAAGCGGAAGGAATAGAAGGAAATGAGAAGGGATATATCTTATGGAGAAACAGAAATAACCAACATTTTTATTCCTCCTAAACAATTTTGCTGGGGGCCAGCGTTATGCAAAAAGGATTTGGGCTAGTCATTTATATCATTTTGGCCAGGCTTTTTTATTCTAGGACCAGGCTATTATCCTTTTTTTCTTTTCATCAATCCTGAAATTCATTCTCATTGCCTCTCTAAATCAGAAAAAAAAATCTATAAGGCTAAGTGCACAGCAGTATCTCAGAGACTGGCTATATACTGATGTAGTTTACATACGATTCTGGAGTATCTAAAGATACGCACAAGATATAGACGATGAAAAGCAGATTTGCTAAATGAGAGTGATATTACAGCAAACAGACAAAACTTCAGGATTTCCATGGAATGTGCTGCCATGTCTTTTTACCCAAAAATGGTGTGTGAGCATTCCTTTGTTCTTTTCCTACTTGCTTTTTGTAAATTATACACAACCTCTTGGTAAATTTCTGTTGCCCTTATGAATTCCTAGATGACCCCATCATCTGCCCAGTCTTCCCCAGTGTTATCTTGGATTCCCTTCGCCCCCAAAGATCTCAAAGTCCTACTACTAGGACAAATGCTATGGATTTATCCCTTCTTCTGGTCCACAATGTAACCATTGCTTAGGTTATAGTGACAGCCACCCAATTATTCTCCCTAATTATCCAATCCAGTTTCCGCACCACAGCTAGGGCAATCTTTTTCTTTTTTCTTTTCTTTTCTTTTTTTTTTTTTGTTTGTTTGTTTGTTTGTTAATTTCTGAGAGAGAGAGGGCACGCGCACTTGCACAAGTGGGGGAGGGGCAGAGAGAGAGAGAGGGAGACACAGAATCTGAAGCAGGCTCCAGGCTCTGAGCTGTCAGCACAGAGCCTAATGTGAGGCTTGAACCCACAAGGCATGAGATCATGACCTGAGCCAAAGTCAGATGCTTAATTGGCTGAGCCACCCAGGTGCCCCACAGTTAGGGCAATCTTTATGAAACTTTATAAAACTTCCTGCTGAAAACTTTCTCCTGGCTCTCAAGTATCCTTAGAGCAAAATCCAAATTTCCTAATGTAATTTCCAAAAAAACTTTGTGATCTGGCCCCCTGCTGACCTTTTCAGCCTGAATTGCTCTTCCTGCCCTTGCTGCCTTCTCACCATGTTCCAGCTATGCAGACAGCCTTCAATTCCTGCCTTCCTGGACTTTTGTTCAGGCTTCCCCTCTGCCAGGAAGCCTCTCTCCATCACCTCTCCCTTCAGTGGAGAATCCCATCTTCCCTGTGGCCTTGTCTCTTTTCCCCAGGGCATCATCACTGACTCCTCTACCCTGAGTGTAAAGCTTCCCTACTGCGTGCCAGTAGCACACATTTCCTCCTTACACACTGAAGTGTAATGGCCTGTTTACTTGTCTGTGTCCCTCACTCACTAGATATTAAGCACCTTGAAGGCAGGATCTAGCCCACCTAGCACCTAGCACACATGGTGGGTGGTTAGCAAATAGGCATCGAACTAGTAAGTGTATGAATGAATATAGGTTTTACCCTTGGGGTTAGTGGGTAAAATTGGCGAGACAGAATCCCTGTTTTGTTGCTTCTCCATGAAGTCTATATACTCCTGGGGACAAAAGGCACAGTGCGTCTCCATCACAGCACACACAAGAGATTTGCCACACTGCTATTAGTAACAGTGGTTCACTAATTCCACGACTCCCTGGAGTGCAAGATGGGCAGAAGAGGCACTACTATTTGAATAAAAGTCCTTACTTGGACTCTGGCCAAAGGGTTCCTCTTCTTCCTTAGGAATCAATGAAATATGCACTGATATTTTTAACAGGAAAGTAAAGGTCAGTGCAACTTTTTGAAGCATATAGATTTTCATTTGACTATAAATTTGAAAACAGTGATAAAAAGGGCCTAATATTTTGATATACAAAAGTACTTTGGAATTTATTCTTAACTGACTCGAACCACAATTTATTCCATAAGACCATCATACAAACTCTCTGCTGAAATTAGATTGATAAAAACTTTACATCCCATCTGGATTGGATATATTTATAGGTGAGCCCAAATTAAATTAAATTAAGAACTTATTCAGGATCTCTCTACACATGATAAAATAGAAAACAATATGAAGACATTACCTTTCTCTACAACGACTAAGTCAGCACATAATGATAAAAGCAGAAAGAAATGATTGTCAAAAGCACTGTGCAGAGTTGAAATGCAACGTAAACCATCAGTGAACTTACACTTCCTTATCAGCGAAGATTGTCCAAGCTTAACTTATAAAAATTTGGAGAGTTTCATCTGATGGTTTGAACCATAAAGAATGATCCCAGCTGACAATTATGAATATGATTGACTGTGGAACCACAATAAATACAAAACATATTAAAGCTTTAAACTCTCATGAGCATAAATTTTGAAGAACTAAGTTACGTTGGCACTTCTTTTTATTTGGAAGAACATATTGAAATTATATGTCTGAATGAGAATACGAGAATCGTAGAGTTCTACAACCTCAAAAGCAACTAAATGGTTTGACACTGTAGAAAACATTTAAAAAATTTTACTGTTCACCCTTGGTTGCCTTTAAATAAGAATTCTTTCTGATTTATAGTTTTAGGTTTTCTTAAATACTTCCTCTTGCACTGGTACATGACATTTGTTATAAGCATAGATGTGCTGGGTTTTTCAAAATGAGAACAAAAAAGTTTAGCAAGATATGCAACAGTAGATCTGCTTTTTTGTTGTTTTTAATGACCAATTAGAGTAAAGCATAACCACGCTTCTGCAGTGAGTTTCTGAGCGTTCCTATTGGTGTCAAAAACTCAAAGGAACTTTCAGGTTACATATGGAACCTGAAATTCCAGATTACACGTGATTTAGTGAGATTATGAGTGTGTCTATGTGTATATATTTTTGCTGGCTGACCATCTGTATATGTATCACTAACTTTTGTGAGGCCTCTATGTAGCGGTGGATCTAGATTGCTATGTCATACATGACATTGTTGCATACCTAAAGGGATCCAGTATGTCAACCACAGTGAAAAGAAAATTCATACTCTGCCATTTGCATTTCTTTACCATCAAGGCTGTACCCAAGTATATGCCTTTCATTAAGGTCCAAAGTTCTGGGTAATTACCAATTACCGTTGTTTGAGGCATTCTCTCTGCCAATTTCTATTGGCATGGTTCTATATAATTTGCTCAATGAGACTATAAGTTAAAATTTTAATCTACAAAATCATAATTCATGAAAAACTGTCATTCCAT